AAAAAAAAAAAAAAAAAAAAAAAAAGGCAAAAATAGCCCCTGCCCACAAAGAGCTTACATTCTAAAGTGGGAGGCAGCAAGTAAATAATTAGGTACACACAAGAGTAAATGGAAAGTAACCTAACAAAGTAAGGCAACTGAGTGGGAAAACAGAGAAAGAAGGTGGTGTTTGAGATGAATCTTGAAGGAAATTGGGGAATCTAAAAGATGGAGGGAAGGAGGAAAAATATTCCCTGTACAGAGAATAGCCACTTTTGCAGGGAAACATTGAGATGGGGGATGGGAGAGTTATAGGTGAGGACCAGCAAGTTGGCAAATATGGCTGGATTATAGAATGTGTGAAAGGACGTAAAGCATAAAAACACTAGAAAGGTAAGGAACCAGCATCGGAAAAAATTTAAATGCCAAACAAAAAGCTTTCATTTTATCTTGATAGTCCCTGGAGTTTACTGAGTGGGAGTTAGAGGGACAGGATGAGAAGGGTAAGGGAGGTCAGACCTGTGATTTAGCAAAATCACTTGGTTCTCGGCTCTGCGTCTGGCCTTGTGCCTGAAGATGAAGTTCTTTCAGCACTAGCTATATTGGCGTACTTCATATTTCAGGACGGAACTAAGCTTTTGTCTGAGATCTCAGTTTGGAGGAGGGGGATTAGGGAGAAAGTGTTAGATATTATGCAAGACAGGTACAACAGAGTAACAACTACACATGCAAGGGCTATATTCACCTATATTGTTTGCTTTGCAGCCCTGTTTTCCCTTCAGTATAGGCTTTTCTGACATTTGAGGGTTAAGCCCTGCGGAGTTAAGAGCTTTAAGTGTCTGAGGGTAGTGTGCTTACTGAATTATTGTAAATTCAGTATTTCCTATGAGTGTTTTGGTGCTTTTAATTTGGTGCATCTTTAAAAATGTCCAGGTCTCTGAACCATAACGAAATTGAGCTCATCAGGAACTGAAAGGGAGGGTGCCTCCCTCCATCCTAGCTAGAGTGGGGGGTTGGATGACGACTCCAGCTCCAGGGCTTGGGGCGGGGCCCCCCGCCTTTGCAGCTGCAGCTGCTTAGCCGGGTGGAGGACTGGAGCATAGGCCTAGCCCATAGAAGGAGGGGCTGGACCGTCTGGCGTTTTATCCCCGCCTCTTCCCTGGAGCTGCTATATAAGTGGCTCCTGCACCTCCCCCGTCTCAGTGTGTTACTTACCTCGACCCTTAGCTTGTCGAGGGCTGTAACGAGAACCCGGGTATCCCTGCTTCTGCCGTCTTAGTCGCTGCTTAACCCACTGACCACCATGGTGAGTGGCCAGGGCTGGGTTGGGGCTGGGTTCTAGGTCGGACGGGAACACAGGGACTGGGAGCTCAGCTTCGGAGGGCCGCCTGCTCCTTCTAAAGGGGGTGCCAGGGGGAAGAAAGGGGGGGGTGGGGATGGCGAATGGCGAATGGCGGAAGGAATAAGGCTGAAGAATGTTAGGCGGGGGCTTCTGGCCAAGGCTGGGCTATTTATTGGGCAGAAGGTTTGGCTGGACTAAGGGAAAGAGGAGGGCGGCCGCATTTCCGTGCTCAGACCCACGCTAGAGACTGCAATGCGGCGTGGAGCCTCCCCCACCCCCAGACTTGGATGGATAGGTGGGGCGCGCGCTCTTCCCGCCCTGGCCACTGGCTGCGGTGTCTTTTCCCGCGCGCGCCCAGGCCGCCGCCCTCCTCCTCCCCTCCCCCTCCCCCCTCTCCTTCTGTAGCGCGCGCCTGCAGGCGTAGTCTTCGCGCCTCCACTCGCTTCCGCAGCCTCTCTGCGCGCTTTCAGTCGGGGGCGGGAAGAGCCCGGCAGACAAAACCTGTCTCGCGCCCTCGAGCACGCGGCCCATCTGCGTAAAGCGCGCGCCCGCCTGGGTACCGGTCTGCCCTCCCCCGGACTGCGGCTCTGCAGCCAGACTGCAGAGCCGCAGTTCGGGGGAGGGGAAGACCCGCCCCTGGCGTAGGGGATGGGTGGTGCCCTGCTTTTTTCAACTTTTAAAAAACTTAACCTAATGAAAAATAGCATAGGTGTCATGTGTGCCCCTGGGCCCGGGCTGGATTAGATTCATCGCTGCCATTCCAGGCCAGCCCTTGGAAGGACAATCGCATCTAATAGCAGGAAGGCCATCTGTTCCTCCCTGACCCGGCCTCCTAGCTTCCTCTGTGCTAAGAATGCGAGTGGGAGCAGGTGGTGGGAGGGGAGGGCAGAGGCAGGACTGGGGGATTTTAAGAGAGCAGAAATCGGATCTGGCTCCAGATCTGGGCCGGAGATAATCCCCTGCAGTGCCCCGGACAGATGTGGAGGGGCTGAGCTGAGCAGAACCTCCCCAGAGAGGTGGGAGGAGCCGAGGCAGCTTCTGCAGACGTGGACAGCCGCAGTTGTTTAGTAGCCGGTACAGGGACGTGGGAGGTGCAATTGCTGCTGTGATCTGAATAGCGCCTTCATTCTTCTCTCACCCTCCCCCCTCCTGTCTGAGGGCCAGACATTTCCTCTTTGCAATTCTATGTCTGTGCTGGTTGCTGCTCACAAATCTGGCCTTCCTTTGCAAAGGTGGGAGGCTGGACATGTGCACAGGCAGGAAGCAGTGACTAAGCTCCATCTTTAGGCTGCCTGCTGCGGAGATGTGAAACTTCTTGGCCAGCAGAAAAGGGTGGGGGCCAAGTTACAGAATGGTGTAAAGAAAATGGCAGCATATTCTCACCTACCGGAAACAGGGAGGGAGGGTGCTGATTCCAATATGAAGTCAAAAGAAAAGCCCCTATTTAGTAAAAATGAGAGAAATGGTAGTACTAAGCCCCCAAATTCTTTGTAGGTAGAGTTGTAGCACAAGTGTCTTATTGATAAGAAAGTAGGTGGTTCCAGGGAACACAGATTTGGTGAAATGAAACCAAAACTTGATATCTCTCACAAATTTTTCTTCCCCTTCCCTGCCATATAAACTATCATAAAATGACTTTTTAAATATTTATTTCATAGAACTTGGTATCTATTGTTGGTTTTTTAAGCCTTTGGAAAGTTAAAATGTTTTATAAATTCAATTTGTTAAGAGAGAACTTTGGAAATCCTGCAGTCGGTACCAAGAACCATGCAGGTTTTTCTGTGATATAAGACCCATTACAAAGTTGGCTTTCTTTACTCTTGTCTCACAGCGTGAGTGCATCTCTATCCACGTTGGCCAAGCCGGTGTCCAGATTGGCAATGCCTGCTGGGAGTTGTACTGCCTGGAGCATGGTATCCAGCCTGATGGGCAGATGCCAAGTGACAAGACCATTGGAGGAGGAGATGACTCCTTCAACACCTTCTTCAGTGAAACAGGCGCTGGCAAGCACGTCCCCAGAGCAGTGTTTGTAGATCTGGAACCAACTGTTATTGGTGAGTCGTCATTAACAGTAAAGGACTTCCTGAGATGTTTCTTTTTCCTTCCCGTGACCATAACTATATTTATATCTTTCTTCCCCTAGATGAAGTTCGTACTGGAACCTACCGTCAGCTCTTCCATCCTGAACAACTGATCACTGGCAAGGAAGATGCTGCCAATAACTATGCCCGTGGGCATTACACTATTGGCAAGGAAATCATTGACTTGGTTCTAGACAGGATTCGGAAGCTGGTAAATACGAAGATATTAGAAAAATAAATTTTAATCCTAATAGTTGTGATGGGTCAAGAATAGAGAAACTTGGCAATTTTAGGAATTACTTGTGGTTGTACACACCAGTGAATTCTTAGAATAATCATTTAGCAATCAGACTGAACAGAAGATTTCAAATCTCACTAGAATAGGTAACCTGGGCAATTGTACTAAGCCAGCTTTCTTTAGAAATTGGACTTTAATTTTTTTGTCAACTATTCCTGACAGCTGTATCCTCTCCAGTAAAAACCTATAGACTTCTGAAGTCCAATCTTTTTGTTCCAGAAAAATTCCAATCCTATGAAGATAATTACACAGTTGTAAATCCCAATAGAGGGGAATGAGTCTTAAAATACCCATAATACCATCCATATTGGTTTAATATCTTTGAGTTTAGAAGTGCTGCTGGACTGGTCAATTTTTATAGTTAGGGCCCTGTGAATTCCTGGTTACCGTGAAGTGAGCCTTAGACCTGATGTAGGTACAAATTAAACAAGACTCCTGTGAGGTTGCTCTAGGAAGAGGGAACATGTTTCCGTATTGTGGTCTGAGACCAAGGAAGCAACATTTCTTCTTATACCTACCTTTAGATTCCTAGGATTCTTACCCATGCCCGGATAGATGTGGTGGTACCTAGTGATAGCTGTGTTTCAGACATCTTTCTGAAGGAAACTAGAGACATTGTTTCATTTGGAGCTAATAGTTATTGCTTTAATAAACTCATTAAATCAAGATGGGTTTAGGTCAGCTGGTGATATGAACCTGCCTCAGTAGATTGGGGGCAGCTTTTACCAGCTCAGTGTGGGTTGAGATATTCTTCATAGTCCACAATCTAAAGGTTACAGTTTTGGTAGCAGGAAATAAAAACAAAGTAAATGCGTGGCATACAGGGTGAGAATATAGCCTAGCATGTAAACTGATTCTTCTTGTTGTTTTCTTTTCTAACAGGCT